TATTCATAGCTGTTCCCGTTTTTTCTCGACTCAGTATGTTTTAACCTTTCACTACTCCGTTTTCTTCAAAATTCCAGGTTAGCGCTTGCTTTGTGATGTAGTTTGATGATTTCTTCAATGTGTGTATTATCCACTTCAAGCTTACTTCCTCCTGGAAGTTGGCTTGTCCTCTACCACAGTCGTCTGTTGCTCATGGTATCCGGCCAATGGACATTGAGTATCCCACGTATTGTAATAATTGGTATTATATCAAATATAATTTTAGCATCTAAGCCACTCATATACTGATAAATCCTCCAAATGAATGCTTGTTTCAGTTTAATGATGTCTTCAAAATCTACACGACAACTCAAATATGAGTGAAAGACGCGAACTATGGAGGGAACGCTTTACTCTAAAATTCGTCTATGTATAACAAACTTAGGGTATTTATGGTATTCCAGATAGCCTTGAGCTTCTGAAAAGTTCTTGAACCCTACTAAACACGGTAGCAGGATAGGTTATCATAGGATTTGAAATGTGACACGTTAATTTACACAGTCTAGATGTTTCTGAGAAACGTCTATCAAATGATAATTATGTAAGATGTTTCTCAGCGTTTCCAATTTTCCTGTGGGCTTTCTTCGAAGAATTTTATAGATCTCCTTAACACCTTTCCTCTTTCAATGTAAGAGCTGTTCTTCCAGTTTACTTTCAGTTCGATGTTGCAAAATCTCTAACAAAGGAGACGAATTCTATCTCAAGGTCAAGATATCAATATTAGTGATGGTTTCAATTATCCCGTTGTCTATACTGATGACTAGATAGTGATCAATCGTTGATGAGTTGTGTATCTTGTGTCTCAATATAACTGTAATGTTACACTTTGTTCATACAGTAGATTCAGCAAAATGTATTAGGTTGGAGGCTCTGTGAGAATATCAACACAGTCAAAAGTACATCCCGTTGATGAGTTCGAAACAGGACGAAACATTAATCTTACCTTGTGCTTTGGTTACTCGCAAAACACATCACAACCCCAACCACGAAATCTACACTCCATTTCACTCATTTCATTGAAACCATGAAAGAGTCAATGTTGGATCACCAATGAAAATCTTGAAGCTCTGAACAACCATTTTATCTCATTATAAGACTCCTCCTCAGCAGTGTACATCCGCAATCTCTCGCATGGGACTTGTACCTAAGATCTCTGGTTCTACACAAATATGTTTAACCTCTAGATCAACAACGAGATCTGTCGGTCTTAATCAAATTCAAAAGTTGACAAAATTACATTCCGATCTGATCGCTTCGTTCTTCCTTTCAACCTAATTCTACATCGATCACCAATCCCCATAACCACAATTAACACAAAAGCTAATCCATTTAAATATATCAATGTGTATTGGTGATTACTTTTGTTTTGAAACACAGTTTCATGTAAAAAGAAAGACACAATTTTTGTTTTAAATATAAATTATCCATGTAAATCAATACTTTGAGATTATAAATCATTGTGGTTAATTAAATAAATTCAATTCGACTGGTGGAATTTCGTCAACATCATTCCAATTCGTATTCAGAATAGACGTGAACTGTTCACTCTACGATTATAATATAGAAATATAAGGGTATAAGAATATTAATTATTATCGGGATGAGGATTTGTAGAGATTGTAGTGATTTTAATAGTTGAATTGATGAATCGATCTTATTCAGAACACCATCTAGTTATTGGATGGCCTTTTCGTTCAAGTATGTGATTCCTCAGCTGTGCGCATCAACGATCCCTTCCGACGAACTTCAACGCAGAACCTTCGTCAGTGCGCTTAACCTGTAGATCGCTGAACCGACCTACAAGGGTGTCGATGTGTAAATCTAGTCGATTAATGATATTGCGCAACTTTTCTCCTATAGTCCGAGGTGGATAACTGTCTCCACCCTACAATAATTGAACTCAACCGGTCTTAGCTTGTTACTAAAACTCTATGAAATCCATCTTGAAGCTAGTCACTAGCGCACACCCTCATCGATTCAACAAACAAAATATTAATTATCTCAAACAGCATTAATAACCTTTAAGATTCATAAATGAAAAGTATAAATGATTAAAAGCAATCAAATGGAAGTATTTCATGATTTCGTCTTCATTAACACTCGTTAGAAAGACGAATCTCTAATGTTATAGAGGTCAGATATGGCATTTGAAGCTATACTATTCTTTGTAACGGACTGAAATGTTTAACCAAGCTATTCAGTCACAGTTTAACATGTAATACATAATTCTGATTGTTTATGAGTTAACATTAATACACAACTGTACACATGTAATGTTTCAGTCTTCTAGAAGATTAGTTCTGTTCTAAAATGCTTAGCATTAATATCACTTACTTTATGACGAATTGATGAGACATGTAATGTTTTAGGGAATAGAGAAGGATCAATTGTTTCAGAATTGTGACAGCACTTATGTAATGAGTTTCCAAAAAACCTATGTCTACAGTTTAATGGCAATCGCCTTTGACTGTCTAACATCAAAATGAATTTTAAGTTAGACATAGATGATGGCTGCTACAGCTGACAAACAATTTGACCACAGGTAACAACAATTTAAAACGAATCATTCTGTAGAAAGTTACTCAATTTAATGCTAGACTGTTGCTAACTCTTATTTCTGTCTATTCGGAGATAGTTTCATTAGATACCTTGGTTACAAGTAAGAGTAATTTTAATAATAACAGAATTCACTACAGTCAATAGAGTGTCTTAGTCCCAACACTTCATTTTGTAGACTTTGGTTTTATTATGTTCCTTCATCAGAAATAGTAGAGTTTTGAACATCTACTACTCTAAACAATCCATTCCAACCAGCTCATTACATGAAATAACAATATTCACTTCATCCAACTAATTGCTGCAGTTGGATTATTTGATTTCCTATAGTTATGATGGTCTGAAATTTTATAGCATGAAATTAGGCGTGTCTATGGTGTTAAAAAATAACGTTAACCATCAGGTAGAAGAGGATAATAAACTGTGAAATAAGTTACGTAATACAGAATATTGATCGAGAGAACAAATGATGAATTCATATAAAGTACTTAACTATTCAAAGTAATTACATAAGTGTTGGAAACAAAATGTAAGTTGGATTTTCATCAAGGTTCATTTGACTGAACTTAAGTTTATCGAAGTAACAATAAAGATCATACATAAAGTCTCTACTGTCTGTATATGACAGTGTTTTTTAAACAACGACATTCACATAACTACTTTCTAAGCTACTTTTAAATTTGGAAAGATACCGTCTTCTCTGAACTTGTTACAATCAATTTCCATGCATAATATTCGGAGATGTGATGTATGCTACTGATATATGTCGACGTAGATAGTATGTAACACTATTTGGAAGTGGAATGTTTACGATCAAAAAAAGAGATTGACAGGATTGAAGTGAAAAGAAGAGAGAAGAAAACTGAAAGTTATCGTGATAACAACAGGAATGAAGGAACAATTATACTTGTAAAAGAGATGATTCAAAGAAGATGTGCAAATGGTGTATTTTCACATTTCATTAAACTACTGTGTGATTTTGCACTGAACAATGAATCGGTCTTCCCCCACTTGACTTCTTTGTTCGTTACGATATAACTGGGAAATAATAAATACATTTTAGTCACTGAGGAACGAGGAGTAACAGGCGTAAGTAAGTCACTGAGGAATTCTTAATATAAATGAATGAAGAATATGCTTTTCAATAAATTCTATTCAGTGTCTACAAACATCTTGTACAAATGAATCATCCAAAACGTGGTCAGATTTAAGGCGAAATGCATCGTTTGAAAATGACAGTATGTGAATTGAGGATTGTTTGTAACAGAAAACAAAATAAAAACATTTTTGTTGAGATGACCAATATGAAGTGTTGAATTTACAGTAACGCAACGTGTTAACAGCAATCTACCTATATCCGTCAGACGAGGAATCCATTGGACAGTGGAAACAGTAGCTGTTTAGATCAAATAGCCGGAGCTCTGCGTTCAAAAGAAGTATGTTCGACGGCTCATTTTATTGTGGTAAACTTCTAGATTAATTAGTGAATGATCATTAGGTGTGATATGATGACATAGTTCCAATAATGTTCGTGCAACCCTCTTCTTAGCTTAAACTTATTTACACACCTCATGATTACTACTGAAGTATATGGTATGCCTTGGGAAATTTATTCAACATCCCACTCCCCTGCTCATCGACCTACCAATTTGTACCTAATTCATATTATTTTCCATATTACATAACTTCTGACCTGTAATTACACTTCTGTCTCTCATTCAATCTAACTCATATTTATATGTGATCATTAACCTGACAAATTCATTTCATGTATGAAATTATTATAAGTCAAGTCATCTTAACATGAACGATGTGATTTGATTGTACATTCCCTGAATTCACATATTATCATCTTTAAACGATGCATTCTGCCTTAAATCTGATCACTCCATGAATGGTTCATTTGGATAAGATGATTGTAGAAACTGAAGAGAATTTTTCGAAATGAATATATTCTTCATTCATACATCTGTATTCTAAGTAATGAAGACTGAATTTATGACATTTTTATATAAGAGTTTAATGTATGCTGATTATTCACTGAGTAGTATCTGATATCATATTGCTTTAGACTTTGGTGATGTTAATAGAATTCTATTGATCAAATGACAATATCTAACCAACGATTAAATTATCACAATAATCAATGTTAGACCACCATTGAATAACTGAAAGTTCTAGACTCTCATTTCATGATATTATAAAACTCCTTAGCAGTATACATCTATAATCTCTCATGTGAAACTTAAACCTATGAATTTCAGTATTGCATACAAATACTTAATCATTAGACCAATAACTGGGATTTGTCTTTGACAAAATTACATTCCAGTCTGATCGCTTTATTGTTTCTTTCAACCGATTTCTATACCGATTACCAATCTCCATAATTACCAAGTAAAACAGAATATATCAAAGTGTATTGATAAGTATCTTTTGTTTACAAATACAGTTTTATGTAAAAAAGAAAGACACAATTTTTGTTTTAAATGTAAATTATTCATGTAAATTAACACATTGAGTTATGTATCATTAAGGTTAATCAGTTTAATTTGCTTTGACTGGTGGAATTTCATCAAGATTATTCCAGTTTGTATTCAGAATAGATGTGAACTGTTCATTCTATGATTATAATACAGAAATATAAGGATATGAAAATATTAATTATTATTAGAATTAAGATTTGTAGAGATTGTGGTAATTTTAATAATTAAATTCATAAATCGATCTAAGCTAGACTATCATTGAAGTATTGAATGGCCATTTCGTTTTAGTATGAGATTTCTCAGTAGTGCACATCAATGATCCTTTACATGAGACTTCAACGTAGAACCTTCTTTATCGCGCCTGACCTCTAGATCATTGAGCTGGCTTATAACGGTGTCGATGTATAACTTTAGTTGATTCATGATATTGCTTAATCTTTCTTTCATAGTTTGAAGTGGATAACTGTTTTCACCTGACATGAATTGAACTCCAGTGATCTTGACTTTTCACTAGAACTCCATGAAATCCATCTTGAAGCTAGTCAGTAGTGCGCAACATCATGCATTCAAGTATTAAAATATTCACTATGTAAAGTAATATTAATCAACTCTAAAATTCAGAAATAAAATGTTTAAATGATGAAAAGTAGTCAAATGGAAGGATTTCTTTTTGTGGACTTTGGTTTTATTATGTTCTATCATCAGAAAAAATAGAGTTTTGAACATCTACTACTCCAACCTGGTCCGTCCAACTAGCTCGTCACATGAAATAACAATGTACACTTCATCCAACCACTTACTACAGTTGGATCATTTTGTTTCCTATAGTTGTGATGATCTGAAATGTTATAGCATGAACGTATACTTATTTATGATAGGATGGAATCCTGGACCCACAGGTTACACTATGACTTCGACATGGTTGATCAAATGAGTCTATCGTTTAATTGAATGTTCCATATGAGGTCGTTAGTGTACTGTTGCTAACCGCAACTAGTTATGTTGTAGTATTTCTCTTAATTCAATAGTTTCGTGGTGTGTAAATATTCATGCAACATATTTGTTTTAGACGTAATATCGATTCACTTGAAAGTTGGATTTATTAAAAATCGATACGTCCAATCTATTTCCTTTCTAAAACCAAAATCGATTATGTTCTTGACAATAACTAAGATCATGTTAATCATTGTGATCACTGATCGTTGATGAAATCCTTCACTAATCAAATCAGTTATGATTGAGGGAAGTATTGGAAAACTTTGAGGACGTTGATTTCATAAAAGTATTTGAATTAACGATTAGGTATCATGATAGACGTTTGAAAAACGTCCACAGGGTGAATATACGTAAATCGTTTATTTAACAGTGAAAATGTTGTGATACGGCCGATGGTCAGGAAACTCCGCTCTCGCTCTCGAAATCCTCGTATATGGCCACGTGTATACAGCCACTGTCAGAGAACTCCTACTCACCGCCTATTCGTGTCAACGGTGTTTTCCTTTTGCTACTCTATCTTATGTAATTCCATTCGTTTGGAATATCATCTACGCTTTCTTCTGTCCTCGTTCTGTATTAGTTCAAGTTTAATGAAATGCAATGGTTTGAGGAATACTAAACAAGTGTGGAAATAACACTCATTTACCAAGTAGATATTTATGTAGTCAACTTTGTGCAACACTATGTTTATTTGTAAGAACTATTTATACTACGTGTCAGTTCAATCACTGTACAAGAGAACGAACATAAATCAGTAGAAATGACTTACCGTTAACTGACCAATTTTTAAATGTTCCCCATCAGATATTGTCACTCCAGCCACTAAATCAACCAGATCAATGGTATTTGGTAAATTGATACATGCATTCTTAATTTTTTGTAAACGTATTGCATCAGGTGTAATTGTGGCATCAGTTAAATCTAAACTACGATTTCTTGTTCTCAATTTATTTGAAGACTATAGTTAGAAAGAATTCATGAATAAGTTAATGTAACCAATTCAGTAAGTTAAATACCAACGACAGAATGAAAAACCTATAGGTACCTACACAATCTGCATTTCTTATTTAAAAACCTGGTTCCTGAGTTATAATCAACAGAAGAGAACGGTAACCCGAATAGCTTACTGGTAGCATCTCGGATCTCGAAACTGACTAATACAAATTTGGATCCCATACGAGTTATTAGTTCCATAAATGATGAAAGTACACTCCCTCCATACTCACAAGTGATAGCTTACATGAAGTTCTACACCAACGGTTCTCTGTCGACTACCTCCGACCACTTAACATGCCGTTATTATTGTTATTTCAACTCCTTTGATTTATATCTTATCACTGTCCTCTTAGTACGTTGTGGTGTCACAACACAAACTTATTTGTGTTACATCCTAGTTTCATCATCACGGATTGATTGAACCAGGACAATCGGTGTAAGCTATTTTTATACGAATCAAAGTGAGATGCAAGACTGATATCATCAATCTTTTTAATACACAAAAATTAGATACAATTAAATGTTTTGCTCCCAAAAGATCACGGTCAATCCAATAAATTCAGGTGTTTTAATAGTTCGATCCATGAATCAATCTACACTAGACCATCATTGAAAACTCAGAATCACTGAATCGCCGTTTCGTTCTAGTATGAGATTCTTCATTTGTGCTCATCAACGATGCTTTACGGGGGACTTCAACTCAGAACCTCCGTTCTCACACGCGAACGTTTACCCTCTAGATCACTGAACTGGCATCCAACGATGCTAAATGTTATTGCTTACCAATGATTTTATCATGTTGGATATTGAAGAATTAACGAAATATTTGCCAGTATAACTTTCGAAGGTTTATAGTTTACTTGGACCTTTAGAACTCTATCATCGTCAAAGACTGGATTACATCAATGATTAGTGTAAAAAGCTCAGTCGAATATTAAGTCCATTACTCTTCAAACAGATCAATAGTAATTTCTTGAACTGTTATATTGATCATCATGGATACAAGTCCCAGTTGAAGAATCAAGTTTCAACATTTCATATTCACCTTAGTGATAACACTGTTTTATAGTTTAATTTGTTGTAATTAAAACAAACTGAAGAGAAGCCAAGATGAAATAATAATGTCGCCAGTTAAAAGAAACTAAATAAATGTTACATTTGACAGAAACTAATGAGAAAAAAGATCGAAAGATCGTGATTCAGATGAAACCGAGAAATAATTACAACTGCTTCATTACTGCTTATCTGTAGTCATATCATGCAGTGTTTATGACTAAATATCACCTTGCTAGAAGCGACCATCATTCACCTTGCAGATAAGCACGACTTTCTGGCTTCATCAATTTTATTATTATCTAGGTATGTGTGAAACATATATCAGAAATCTCAGTTACCGCAGGTTTATAGTTTCATTAACCATCTAACTGTTCCTACCTAGAAGCTGATTTTGAATCTTACGATTGCTCACATAATGTTTCTACCACATCAAGGTAATGTTACAAAAAAATATGTTATCAATTACTGTCAACGTAAACTGATATTTCACCTTCATAAGACACTTTTTTGCAAAAAAAAAGAAAAGACAATTTGGAATTCAAACATTCCTCGGTCATTCAGGACATCGGTTGACTCCTGGTTAGTTGTACGTTTACACATCTGGTTGAAGTTTATTCATGTCCAACTGTCAGGATTGTCTTTCTCAAGAGTACAGGTTGGTGTTATTGACAAGTCCCAGCTAGCATAAAGCCTTTGGGGTCAAGTCAATCACCACCAACATTAATTCACTTAGAACACAATATCGGATAAAAAGAAAATACATACAGAAAAGATAAAACTTACATTCGATATGGACGATCTGGTTGTTCTTACTTTACCATTCATTTTATTGCCAAACTGATTGTTATTTGTACTGTTACAGTATGACTCCGATACAAAACGCCATTGAATTGGAATTTTATTTCCCAAAATATTATTATCAGTTCCATTTGAGTGTGAATCAGTCGTGAATGACTCATCTTGCTTATTATTGACTGGATATAATTTAGGCACACTTATTAGATTTCCTTCATCGTCGAAAACCAGTTTTCCAGATCCATTTATACGTTTGTTTTGTAGCTAAATATAATTTTAAAAAATGTTCGAATTTATTCGAAAACTATATTTTACTAAATCTGTTTAACTACTATCAAATAAAAAAGTAGTTCGCACTTTGATCTTAAAATTATGAATAATCACATTCTTCTTTTATAACTGGATTGGACTGAAATAACTAAGTTAGTTTTCTTTAACGTGTAATCTGATGCTGGTACTACGAGACAGAACGAATGATATTAGGACATGGCCAATACAATGTTCGGAATGGTGAAATTAAGTGTTCACATTTTAATCCACGTCGGAAAAAAAGACAAGACCGACCAAAGTTAGACAGCTATTGAGAACCTGGAATCACTTGGCAATCGGTTCTCTTTAGTGTAAGCCTTAGCACCATCGGTTATCCATGACCCATAAGAAGGATTCCAGTCAGAAATCAAACAAAGCTTTCCGTTGTCTGCCATCACACATCTAACAATAATAAGCACAACTGACAGAATATTTTAGTATATACACTCAACAATGACCATAATTACCATAGTTTCAGGCAGTGGTTTCATGAGTGGCTTCATTGGTTTCTTTTTAGTTAGACTATATTCTGTACTGGTATTGTCTTTTTTAACTGATATATTCTTTTGAAGAAATTGAAAAAAAATTAGAATACTATCTCACTTCCATTGATAAATTTTCTATAGACGATTTCAATGTAGAATCTTTCAACTGTTTAGTTAGTTGAGGGAAAGAATCTCCTTGTTCGGTGGGTATACGGGTGTGATCTATAATTTAAAAGAAAGTTTATTAGAATTTACTATCATTTAAAAGCGAAATAACCATACGATGTATTTTATTGTTTTATTACATTTAGTATATGGCTATGAGCGATGTTACGGACATGAGTTTCATCCTACTTGAAACTTGTTAATTGGATATACCTGCATCACATTGTTGATATTTACAGTGAGACTAGAACCTCGTACTAGAACCCCATTATAAATACAAAGTCATCAGCCATTAAGCTACCAAGGGTATATAACCAGTAACTTCTTTAAAAGGTATGAAGCCATTAGATAAGTCTTGTAATTCCCGGTTGTTGATATTCAGGACTCGAATTGATCTGTCCCGTATGCCATGTGTGCACTCCGAGTAGATTTCCCTGATATGACATTCATTGATAAGGACGACATATGAATCCTTAATGTTACCTGTATTCATATACCAGGTATAATGACTATGTAGTTAAGATGCAAATGTGCCAACATAAACTGGTTTATTGGAGATCTGGGTAGTGGCGATGGGAAATTATACCGACAAGTGATCCATTTTACGATGATAGATGATGCTATTGCAAATAACAACATTAAGAGTGAGCTAATATAAATCACTGAATTAAAACCGTGTTATGTTACTGATCAACAGAATTTCAAGATGGAAAACACTGGAGTTTACTGAATGCTCCAAAGTTATCATGGTAGTTGTGAGGGTTAATAGTTCTGAATTCAATCTTAACCATATCCACTGGTGCCCATATCCTCAAGCTCGGATAATACGTCTTTATTTTTAATGGTTTTCAAGTCACTTATTAATAACAATCATCTGAAAAACGTTAATGCTATTCACAATAAACAGTTTGGTCAATAACAATGTGTGTATATTTAAACTAAAGATTTTATCAATACTATCTGACACAAATGAACGAAAGTATAACACATCTTGCCATGAAAATGAACAAGGGAAACTGTAAATTTCGAACTTTCAAAGAATGTTATTGTTTTAAGAACATATAATGAATATACCAAGTAAGACAGCGGAACTTTTAATTCTAAGCATCTTCTAGCTTTTAATACTAATGTACAGTTTTCATGGAAACAAGCAATACTGACCCAAACATTTTTGTTTAGGATGAATTTAAATAATAAGTGACCTAGTAGCAGGAAAATTTGCTTCATTTTGATACTGTGTGAGAAAGATGTTTATCAGTCCATCTTGTTTTCCAGTGAATATGTTCAAAGTTACGTAGCCTTAATAAATAGGGATTCAGTGGTGTGTTGATCGTTCAATAACTACTGAGTAAGTGTGAGGTGAATTTTAAAAGCTCAGACAAAGTTTTGCAACAGATAGGACGAAGTATTTAATCATAACACCAGGGATCTTTGATTATTGCATGAATATTGTTGGATGTTTAGGGAATTTGTTTACCTTTTTTTAAATTGTTTTTCAGTTTTTGAGGCTTCTTCTGTCGAATAGATATTTGGTGGAGATTTTCACTATGAGACATGTCAACGGTATATTCCTTACGGATAGCTTTATTTTTGCTAACATCTTCATTTCTGAAATAATAAAATAAAACATATAAAGTGGGACGTTTCTAACCTTGAATTCGCTTGTTTAAATCATACAAATGATTCTTTTTGAACATTAAAAGACATAACGAACTTATGATCATTTCCATATGACATCACAACTTCAACAGTAATAAGAAATTCTAAGTAGCATCAAGGTATTTGTCTGGTTTCGGGTCTCAACAGGATTATTGAAATCACTAATATTTCGCAACAAATAAAAGTAAGGGATCACTGGTTACTCTTTGGCCTTGCTCTTCATCCAGAGATAAATAACTTAAATTCGTAATACTTTAGTCGAATAATTTGCCAATGTTTTGATTACACAGTGCATGTTTATATATATTCTCATATGACTCTCTCTTCTGAAATTTATTCGTTTAGAACTTTCAGTTTAGGCCTGAAAGTCTATGATAATTTCAGTTATTCACTCACTTTATCATTCCATCTAGTCGAGTGATTTGTTAAAGAAAAATTATACATGACGAATAATAGGATCAGTCAGTCAGCTAGCAACAACGTAGAACTTTGTACGTACGTACGTTTTCACAACTGTATAGTTTAAATGTAAGACTGGATTGCTGTCGTCGGTAAAATCATTAACGTCAGCCTCAAGTCGAAAAAATTATTGGTGTTTTCGTCTTTAAGGACGATCATAAAAGTCTTCTAACTGAACGGCTGAATCAGCTTCCTAAGCTCTTCTAATAACTTCAGGTAAAACCTACACGAAAACTTCAACATGATAGAAAAGGTGTGATGTAGCAAGAAGATTTTTTTATGTGCAAAACTCGAGAGTACTTATAGTATTTCAGATGGCATAAACACATGTTAAGTTTTTGTACGCCTACTAACTGACACATAATCACATGCTAACACTTCCATTTTATTCGCATCTTGACGATATCCATGTACCTTTTTACATAATTATAACACTTTCGTATAATATACTCACCCCTCACTCGATACTGTACTTTATCGGATATAGTACTTTTTCGCTGGGTATTGATAACGTTAACCATACATCACTTCAGTGTTATTTCGAAATCAAACATTTTTTTCAAATAAATGGGCTATTTTCCACAAGGAGATATGTAGTGTCGGTTGCTATGCTAAGCCCATATAGCTTATTCTAGCTCTCGGAGAAGCTACTTTATTTATCTTTCTTAAGTTATATTGTGACTTTGCATGTGAGCATTCCTTAGCTTACTCATCACATGTCTGTGGCTTATTTTTATCTGACTATAAATACTGGTAAAATTGATTTGACATACTCGCCTACTCCATTGCTCGTCGTTTTGTTTTGCCTCGCTTTCCGATCAACAACCGTACCATCGGATGCCAGCTCAGTGGTTTAGAGGTTAAGCGTTCACGTGCAGTAGTGATAGGCCTTGAGTTCAAATACCACTGGCATGACCGCGGGTGCGCAGTGATGAGCAGCCCCGTGCCAGGACGGAACAGCCGTGCAGTGCATCCAGGTTTACCATGGTGGTCTAGCTTTATATGACTCACGAGTTCAACTTTCATAATATGCGTATTCAAAACTTCATTCTTGTATTTCACTTATTTAATTCCGTTATACACTAACGCAAGTAATTCGATGATAATACACGAGAACAGTCAGAAAATACATTTCAAGTATTCATTCACCAACGATCATTTGTCCGAACTAACTGAAGTCAGATAAAGAGCCACTTAAGTAGCATTATGTTCATGACAAAAAATACGTTCGTCAAATGAAACACAGAAGCACTTACTTGCAAATAAGACTAGTTTGAAGCCCTTGTAAAACCCGATGATTTTTTTGAGATTGTAGATTGTCTGAAATCTTTGCATAAGAAGTCTTGGAAATCGCTCCTTGAGCCCATGAATCTATTCTACTTGATTCAGCAACTAGCAAACATAGTCCGGTTATAAAAACCAGTACGTACGTTCATCTTCTAACCACTCTGGATTAAGATTAATATGAGGCTCTCCTTGATCGCAGGACATGAACTCCAACTACGCATTTTAATATACAAAATTGTATGGCGCAATTTACGTCAATGTATTGCATGAGGCACAGTGATGCTTGATAAACTGCAAATGGTATTAATTGATTCTTTAAATATATCTGGAATATAGCACTGAGTGATTCATTAACTATATCGTTGACGATATCATGGCATGTCTTTTCTGCAAAATCATCTTCAATCAGCTCATTCCTGAACAGATAATGAATAATTTAATGCAAACCACTCTGATTCTGAAGCTTTCCCGGGGATCACGTCTTGAACGATGGAAGATAGATTGACGTTCTTTCCCTTTTCTGCCTTGTTTCGACTTGTGGATTTCGACATGAAATTTGAATTTTCATCACTCTGTTTATATGGTGCTTATTAAAAAATTGTGAATTAAAACACATCCGCTATAAAATAACCTAAAGGGTGTCAACTATCAACTCATTGATTTCTTTGAAGTCACTTCTTGTTAAATCATTACGTTTCACGTCTTCACTAAAGTGTAATGGAAGGTAGTTTAGCCATTCATCAGCATTAATTCTACACATTTTTGTAGTAATTTGTGGGTTTGTTTATTCTGAAATTTGAGGAAATACGTTCTTACCAAAGCATTGTGGTTACTGGAACCAACAACCATTAAATTATCGGGTGAAAAATCAGCTAGTATCACTGTAAAATAAAATACAATTGCTAATAAAAGACGGTTGTTACTATGATTGACTAAACAAATTATTTACTTAATTGTGATCCAGACCGTGTGAGCAAGCCTAATTGTAAGAGAAAATTGAAACAAATGTGAAAGTAGGGAATGAGTCGATGACTTGTGTTAACTATTGTAGTGTTTAAGTTACATGACATGGATCGAGCAGAGCCATTCCAAGCGGTTAGAGGTAAATGATGAATCAGTATGCGTTTGTCAGGTCACCTCTTAAAACAATCCACTGGGGATGCTATAATAACCTAAACTACGAGAGCATCCTGGATGGCAGGAACTGCAAATGAGAAATAAGTGTGAGAGTTCCTTGATTTTCGCCCTTTGATGTAAACTTTTTTGGGCCTTAGCTTAAACGTCGTTGTGGTGATGCACTATTAGGACGTTGATGACTTGAAGTATGTGGCATGTGTGCGCTATTATTAGATAATCTTTTATTCTCTCATAGCTTGGCGAAAATGACACCAAATATCGACATCTGTATCCGTAGGTCTGAGTTCTGGACTCCAACATCCACTTAATCACTCATATCTGCACTGAATATAACAGAGTGATATCTCTTTTGTACAGACTGAGTTTACCAACGTTTAGGGAGATCGAGATGAGACTGTTATTACGTTTCGAATATTATAAGAACAAGTTTTCATGTGACTATGCCAAGTTGTTTTCGTATAAATGGAAGAGTTATATCCAATTTGGCTGCATCCTCAATCTAGTTTAGACCAGTTTACTAGATCTCTGCGAATGCTAGTCTTAAAAACGCACTGATAAAATATTTGAGAACGGATTTTCAAAGATAACGTGGATTGTTTATTTTCAATTGAGTTGACGAAATTCTGGCAGATGCCCTAATACGTCGTATACTGATCGTTTCCTCGTTGTTTTTGTGTCTTTTTAAGACCTAAGTGAATCATTTTCGCTTCTAATGAAACTTAAACTTTTGGCATCATTAGTGTATATGAGGGTCAGTGAGCTCATTTCAGCTAGGAGGTTATTAGTGCGAATCAGTGAGAGGGGTGGACTTTAAGTAGTTCTTTATGTGTCTGCTGATGTTGAGACATTCCAATTCGCGACGACTCTACGAATATCCCATTCAACGCAGTGTATTAGTTCAATAATTGTAAATGTAAGAAGTACGACTTTTTATCACATTTGCGGATAATTGATAACTCTGAAGATAAAACCATATACAACATCTGAAAATGGAAGCGCGAAATGAAACCAGCACTATCAAATCACTTTCGTCATTATCCACATTTCATGATACCGAAATACTTCCAGACAACATTCTGTGAGATCGCAATAATGTCATCATGTGACATTGCTTCAACACTTGAATCTTCGCAACCTTGAATGCAACGTTTACTTAAATCTGAGAAATTATGGTTTCTCAAATTACAGAATTGAGTATGATAAAACGTTTAAGGTCATCATACCGAAATCGAAAATTCTGGCTATTCCGAACAACAGATATTGAGGAATGATTCACTGACGTAGTTTTATTGAAGGATACTAAAAGTTTATAAGTTAATAAGTTGTGCATGGCAAAATACAATTCGCACAGAAATAATATAGATATGGCAGCAATAAAATTCCGCTTGTAGCTCTTCTGTGATTGTTGCCAGACTAAAACCCGTTCAAAGATGGAGAGTTGGGTGTGGTGTCGGCATCCCCATCTCATAGAAAACAACTTTGCTGAACTAACGCTAACAGCAGTAAACAAATTCGATCATTCAAACTCTGTCCAGTGAATTGAAGAACAATTGTAACGACCAAAATGCCAATATTCTGTTTGAACGTAGGAGTGACGGACAAAAATTTATTCGATTATACCAGACGTAAATGAATAGATACAAATTTGCGGTTTTTGCAATAATCGAAACCAATTGGACACCAACTGGACAGAAAAGAATGGATTCAAGAGAGCTGCTGCTGCACCCTTGTTCCGAATAAGAAAATGCTCCACACACAGTGAGTTGATTTGGGGCTGTTGAATGAGTCACGAAAAACACTTATAGGATTGGAATCTAATGGACACAGAACTATCAAACCTGTCTTTAAAACAAAGGATGGGTGAATCATAGTGAATGTTATCTTATGTTTTGCAGTCACCAATCGTAGCAGTGACGACAATAAGGATCAATTTTACAAGAGTCCGCAATCGATTATAGCGAAGTTCTAAGGAATGGACCTGATCATCTTCATGAGGAACCTGAACGTCATAGTCGAAATGAGCAACAGCTGATGTGGAAATATCATAAGGCGACATGGACCACTAGAAGCAAACAGGAATAGTGATAGATTTGCAAATCTATGTACATTCAACCAAATGATTATAGGTGGCACAATATTCCCACACAAACACATACACAAAGCTACATGAGTTTCATCGGACCACACCACGGAGAATCAGATAGATCATATTTGCATCAGTAAAAAGTTCGTGAGGTCGATGGAAGACGTGAAAACCAAGAGAGGGTCTGACAAAGCTTCAAATCAACACCCGATGTTTGCCAAGATTATATGTTTTAGTGAGCTAAAACAATCGGATTGGCACAATCATTAAAGGAATTACAGTTTTTAAGTGAAACGCACAAACATACCAACCAGTATTGAGAATCCTATAGAAATGAATAAAGATTATGAGTCACACTAATACAATAGGATGATTTTGTCCTTCATTTGGCAGGTTATTTGCAACAGGGATAGTCTACAGACACATCAGACCAGATTAATGTGACGGGCGCTTAGACAAAGACTTGATTAGTTAGTTATGAGCACAACCAACAGTGTCAGTTCGTTTTATCTTTTTTCGACTCCCTGTAGTGAGGCGGTAGACGTGCACTAATCGGGAGCTTCATACTAGTAAAATATAGGTGTCCAGTGCGAATAAGTGGAAAGGTTAAAATATAGCTTCAGAAGAATGAACAAATTGGCCTGTTAGGAAGCTAGAATAACCTATGTGAGTTTGGCATAGTACCAGCCACTACAACACAGAAGAAATCGGAGAGCAATCAAATAACAACAGAATTTGAGGAATAACGCACTAGGGCAGTAACGAAGCCATAATTTCATCCAAGAATTTAAAATCTATAAATCCTAACATTGTAGTACGACCTGTCGAAGTCTCAGTATTGACGATTACAAGGCACAAGCCACCTACAGGAGAATGCTGTGGATTTCCAATTAGAGAGAATTTTTCATTCATGCCTAATGAGTTTCCAGCTGGTGAAATGGGACCGTCAATACTAGGTTTAAAAAGTTTGAAAACAGTTAAAGTGTTGCTTTTATCAGCTTTCAGAGATGATTTTGATGACTTACCTAAGAGTTTGATAGCTGCGTTTGCTAAATGCAGTAGAACGACAAGAATTCAGCCTACAGAACCACAAGTAGAGGATGATCCAGTCTCTCTTACAAGGTGAATATTTCCTTATGGTCTTCCAGTAATTGAACAGATCCTGTCTTCAGTATGGGGTGCGTCGTATGTTATGCTTTTGAAATCCGATGGCAAAACCCCCAGAATACATAATAGTTACGGATCAACATCGGCTTTACGTTCGATAAAGCAAACGTGCATCGTGGTGAACACTGAAGATACTCTAAACAAAATTTATGGCTCCAAATTATTCTCTAAATTTGATTTAGAATATGCTTATCTTTGAGTTACTGGTGAGACCCAGTAAAAAAGCTTATTCAAGATATAACAATACTCAAAGTTACCAACGATATACCAAAAAAATAACACTACAAACTTTTGTATGTTTATGAGCAAATCAAAAGGTAACAAATTACAGTTACAACATAAATGGTATATTAAATAACAAAGTGATAACAGTTGCTATGAAATGAATGTTACTCGTAAGCTGCTTCTCGGATAAAAAGCACATATGAGTTCACTTGATCAACAAAGATATTAAATAACAATAATCCCAGCCAAATTCTCAACATAGTATAAGAAAATATAATAGGATGTTATAACACTATTATAATCTCCAATAAAAAACTATGGTCAATGAAGTAGAAAACTATACCACGTAGATAACGTTTATTTTTCAATAATCGCGATAATGTATGTGCATATAAGCAAACAACTATATTCGTTTCTTTAACGTTGGTGCAGAGAAACAATGGATATGGAATATAAATGTGGATATATGTATAAAGTGTGACAAATGGGGAAAATGTGGTCTTTATTTCGTCGTTAAAAAATCACTGAATCTTCATGTCACGGTAGATCCCAATACATTATTCTTCATCTATTTTTACAAGAATTAACACTTCTTTGGTCTATTTAAATACAACCTTCTTCCACTTGGTTCAACTTATTCTCCAGCAACATTTCAGGAAATGATGAATAATGTAGCCAGTGAACTTAAAATTGTTAAGGTTAATCAGAATGATCACACCATTCATAGTTCTGATATACTAGGGCATCACCAGAGATTTATTGCTTTACTGCACTGACAATCACAGAAAAATATTACCGGGAATATAAATAGGTGTTCGTTTTGTGTGTCAAGTTTTGAATGTCTTGGTAGGCTTAGGGACACTAACGGTTATAAACCAGATATGAAACAATTAGCTTCACTGACAAATGCATTCTCCAAAAAGTCTTATAGAACTAAGTTAACGAGTAGGTGCTCTTTAATACCTTTGCTGATTTATT